AAATTCCAGTCCCTGCCAGATTCTTAGACATCGGGAACGGCGATGTCAGGTGGGAAGCACCTGCTCGGGAATAATGCACAACAAAGAAAAAGGTTACAGACATCAGTAACCAAAATTAATGTATAACTTCAGCATTTGAGAGACAGCCCTGAAAACTGAAGTTATACATTACATTCTAGCCATGAAACCCTATGGACAAGATCAAAAATTAAGTTTTCTTGTTATGGAAATTACATAAGAAATTTCAGGATAAGATACAAAACTATAACAAATAGAATGGCAGTGAAACACTGCACAAAACATTAAAATAAAGAAAAGAGAAATAATTTAGATATATTGTGATAATGCACCAAAAAATGTTCCTGCAGATATCACTAAACTCTAAAGATGTGTGAGATATGGAATCTGAAGGAAGCAGGATTCAAGTTTATGGGAGGAAAACAGGGAATGGAAAATGCTGAGTAGGATTTGAGAATCATATGGCAGTGAGTACGAAGATGGCTGTCTCCTGCATTGCCAATATTTCCAGTGATGATGGAGGCAGCAAGGGCCTCTGAAACATTGGTAAGCTTATATCAGACTACATGGCACTACAACCTTGATGGCAGCCATCTTAAACTAAAAACACTATTTAGAAACTGACATGAAGAAAAAGATAAGGGAAGTGAAAGGGAGTGAGAAGAGAAAAAGTTTAAAACAAAGAAGAACTAAAAGAAAGAGGATGCAATTAATGACTGGGCAGATATGTGTATTTTTTGACAATGAAGACCCTACAATATAGCCAGATATATTTTACTGATGAAAATTTAGAACCAAACATAAGAAGAAACATTGTGTACAACAGATAATGTTCTCTGTAAGTGGCAAATGATTCTTATGTCATGATGTATTTATTTAATGATAATTTTATAAATGTATTATTGTGTGTGCAGTCACATGATGGGTGTGAATGATGATTTGGGAAGGGCATGAATGAAAATTATCATGTCCTATTTAAAGTACTGTTCAATCATTTAACTAAAGCAAGTGAAAAAAAATCACAAAAATCTGAGGTAATATACCTGGAAATCTGGTTAAAATTCAAACATGGGGCCCCGTGAATACAAAGCAACTGTGTTTTGTAATTATACATGCTCAGGTTCTTTCCAATAATCATGACCTCATTTGACATAAATAAAAGTGTCATTTAATGTGCATGCCATGTGGAAAATTAAATCAAAGTACTGGCAGAACAGTGAGGCTGTATCTTGCTTGTACACTTGTGTATCACAATTTTATATTAATGTTTCTTCAAAGTAAATGTTTGCAGTTTGTGCTTTACCAATGCAGTGTGTATATTTAAGCAAGTTGTACCTAACCATAAGATCAACCTGGCATGGACAAGAATAAGTATAGTTATCACTGAAATATATCAGGCCTGTCAAACTGAAAATAAAATATGTTACAATTTCATAGTTGCATAACAGTATCTTACATCAGATACAACATGACAGAAATCATAAAAGCATTAACCATAGTTCTAATCCAAATTGCAAAGATCTTCAATTGGGAATTATAATCTTGTGCGATACAACAGAAATATAACCCACCTCATGCGGTTTGTAACCCGAGTCTTTCATCGACTTCGGTTGCCACGAAAGCTTCACTTTATACATCAGAAATAAAATCATTACAGCAAAATCAGTTCTTTGTGTTTGCTTGCATACTATATTATTATATCACATACCACACAGAAACACAGTGTGAACAGACCTGGGGTCCCACGATATTAACATTATAAATATAATCCCATTTTGCACACTTTAATCTTCGATATGCCAACTGGAGAAATCCACAAACTACAACACATGGTAAGCAAAACTTTCACAGAAAAAATTTTTGACACTGACAGTGCGCAACACATAACAAAACTTACACAACAATTTATCATGACACTAGATAACATTTCTGTGCTTTTCAAAAACAACTATATCATGTGCGTACAGTGATCATGCTAAAATGTCCAAGTCACTATTACTATTAGTTCAAGTCTTACTTCAGATACACACAGACATGACTTGTAGAATGTAAAATAATATACAAAACATTTTATAACTTACCTTTGTCTTCAATCATATTGTTTGATAAATCAAGTGTGTGAAGAGGGGTGCTATTGTTTGCTATTAATGCCAGTGAAAGTTTGTGAGCAAAATCCCTGTGAAAGAAATTTATTTTATAACATAAACATAATAGGCATACATTTCTTTGTTATGTGAATTTGAGTTATGACTTAAGGATCTAAAAAGAGTGGACAAGATTCTGAACCTTGTAGACTTGAAATATCACACTGTCATAAATACAATTACAGTTTTGCAAGTCACTCAACAAAATCCACTTGTCCACAGGTTTGCAGATTACGTCAAATAAATATGTATTTTTGTCACTCGTCGTCAGTAACTTACCTGTGGCAAGTATGTATCTGTAACACAGAACACGACTCAGCCCATTTCTGCATGTTTATTTATCCATAACTTTAACGCATTATTTTGTTAAAATGCATGAAATGAACACATAATGGGCAAGTCATGATTGTCTGTTCATCCATCCAACCACATGTTTCACCTTTGACATTACTAAGTTTTGATGAAATTTAGTATCATGGTTCTACACTAAAAGTTTCCAGAAAATACAGGTAGCCCTCGATTTGCGCCGATTCAGAAAAACACCGATTTTTAAACCAGCAAGTCAAAAAGTGGGGAAAAAAGAGGAAAAAAATGTTACTGTTATTTATAACGTTTTACAATGTATCTTATGAGCCGGGATAGCTCAGTCAGTATAGTGACTAGCTACGGGCTGGACGACCGGGGTTCGATCCCCGACGGGGGCAGAGGATTTTTCCTCTAGAAGTATCTTACATCGCTGATTTTGAATAAAAATTATAAATACAGTCATCTCTGCAATTACATATGTTTCGTTAATGCAAATTTGCTCCAATGAGATCGATGAATCGGTAAAAGCTGTTTGTGAAAAGCAAACTTTTGCATAAGCAAGTTTGATCTTATGCAATTTCATTCCTGGCACTTTAAACTTTCAAAGGACTAATTTAATCACTGCGGAGGTACGGGGTTATTTTTACAATGAGATTTTCTATAGGTCAGCATCTTACATAAATGCAACTATCGCATAACAGCAGAGATGACTGTACACATCAATCACATGAAAGAATCATAGTCAATTGCGAATTGCCGATTGTAAGCGTATAAAATATATTTTTTAAATTCCCTTTATTTTATTTACGTTATTTCACAGCTTTAAATGTAATGCCATTATATTACTCGTCAATATTTGGGTGCTGGGAACGCATGTCATTGACTTCCCATTGATTTACATTATAAAAGAGTTTCAATTTACGCCGATTCCGTTTATGCCAGTTCGTCCAGGAACGCATCCCCGGCGTAAATTGAGGGCTACCTGTAAACAACTTATTGATAAAATGAGCAAGTATAAACATTTCAAGGAAGATAAGTCTTAAGCAATAAAAACATAAGCATAAAACCTACCAAAATAGTTATCCTAAGGTTATCATCTACAAAGCTGACCACAACAGGATAAATACTCCATACAAAATGAAGGGGGACATAATAGGTTGTAAAGAGATGACTTACCATTTAACACCAAGGTTGTCTAGGTATAATTCTTCTATACTAAGTGACTTCTTCATCACATGCAGAATTCTATCCAGGGCTTCATGTGTTAGTTTTATGTTGCTGGCTCGCAGCTTTGTGAACCAAGTGTTGTACTCAAGGGCACTAATTATCGGTACAATATCCCTGCACACACAAAGACCTACATAACCCCTGTGCATCTTTTTCAAAATTTCACCGTAAAACTTTAGATGCATGATCTACACAAGGATTTATGAAAATGGTCCATCATGGGAAATATCACATATCAATAAGTGACACATTTTCTCTAAAACAAAATTGGTAAGCCATATTTGTGGAAAACTGATAACATATCAGTTTCTTGATGTAACTGACATCTTCTAATTTCCAGTTAGCATAATTCATTGTTTTATTAAACTCTTCACCTATATATTAACACAAATTATGTTATGACTGGAGCACTTCTTCTGCACAGTGCAGTCCTTCTTATATCTGGCCCATTTGTATGGATGCAAAATTATGCAGCAATAACTGAGAATGATTGTCACTGAAATTTGCTGAATATGATGCTTAGTGTTCACTACAGAATTCACAGCTGCTACTATTCCTTTCTGCCTTCAGTGATGGAATTCTGCTTTAATTTTACAACAAAAAAGTGTGTGAATTATATAGAAAATACATACAAATATTTAAATGTGCAAGAATTGGTCTGATGTCCAAATTCTGACAGTGTGGTGTATATTGGCAAACATATAGTAGAATGGCACATTTTTTCACTAACAATGAAAGGGTTATTACTTAAAAATTTATAACATTGCTCTCAAAACTCCTGAGTTTTAGGCATCTCCATTGGATCACTTCTTCTTAACAAGTGTTTCTTCTGTGTGGAGAACACTGACCTAAATTTCTGAATCAGATATTCATGAATGAACTTTTCACCTTTTTAATAGATGCAATTAAGAAACCAGTGACCTTATCATATTTCATTTTTAATGTGAGCTATAAATAAATGATCTCTAATGCAAACAATAAAATTGTGCCACAACAGAATTTTTGGTAATAATTCCTGCTACTGTATAATCTGAATTAAATGGAAATTAGACCAAAGAATTTTACACAAAGTATGAAGTTAAAAATGTAAATGTGACAGATATCAGAATGGTCACTAAAATTCAGTTCAGTTTAAGAGAATCATGTTTTCATTACAATGAAAAAATAAAAATGTTGATCATCACATTTTCATACGTAATCAAGTCATAACAGAGCCAATATCACCTCAATGCTATGTAGCAAAGAATGTAACATACTTTGCATCCAAGTGGTCAAAGTCTCGTAAGCACAACTCCCTTGTATCATGCGACAGATAAATGGTATCCACATCCTACAAAAAAGACCAACACATTAATTAAGAAACATAATTATACAATTATCCAATGTTTCCACTACTTACTTATGCCAGTAATACTATTCAAAATCATACTACCTTCATCTAAAGATCTGATTTGTTTTCTATATAAATATAAATATACATTTTATATGCATGTTCATAACTTAAAAGCCCCCCCCAAAAAAAGACAAATAATAACTTTCTACCTGCAATAACTCTACAACTGGTGAACAGACTTCAATAAAATGTGATACTGGGAATTTTTACTAAAATCTGTAAATGCATTCCAATTCTGGTTAAAACTGGACAAGAGGTGCTTACATGATAACCTACACACATTTCTGCATGCAGAAGTGTCTAGTTTGAAATTCCCCCAAAAAGATTTCCCAACAGACATATGAGAAACTAACAATTTATTTTTGTGGCCACTGACCCTTCCATTTAAGCATGTTGTCTTACCCAAGACACCTCTTCTCTGTATGGCATTCCATGGTAGTCACACATACAAGCATACTGTGTGGAGAATCCTCCACAGGGACCCAGACCTCGCCCATCATGTCCTCGACCTAGTTCCCCTTCCTGTAATTGCTGGATGCGTTTACTGGGTAGCACCTCAACTTTGCGGATAATGTGTCTGAAATCACAAACATAACACTGGTGCTACTGAATGATAATGTTCTTCTGGGTTCTGGCATCATGTGAACTGGTCAATAGATGAAAAAATTTCTCCAAAATCTTTGCATCTACTGACCAGAAGAACATCACCTTTATCATCGCCTCCACAAAAACCTAAAATCTCACACTCACGTTACTATTTTCCTATGTGAGTTATTGTACCAGTGTCAATGAATATGACATATATTTTAAACTAATTAAACAAAGCGCTTTCTATTAATGTATTGAATGTCAAGGTTCTAAAGAATTAGACATCAGTGGTCTTAATACAAACTAGATTAATAATAAATGTCTTTATAACATATCACCACACAAATACAAAGGGAGATAGCTCAGTCAGTACAGCGACTGGTTATAGGTTAGAAGACTGGGGTTTGATTCCCAGCAGGAGCAAAACTTTTTCTCCTTGCTACCACATCCAGACCAGGTCTAGGGCAAACTTAGCCCCTCATGAAATGGACATGTCTACTGAGAGATCAGGTGGCTGAGCAATTAAGCTGAATACACTTCCATCTCTACATTTTCCCCATACACATTCATGGTGTGGTGCTCAATTAAGCTCAGGTACAACTATTAAGATAATTTTAGGAAAGATTCACAAATGATCAAAGTGACAGATTAATGTCATTCACCCTCTGTTTCTCCTATATAGCAAAATTAATAGGGTCTTCCTGTTTCTAACATATCAAATGTAGTAAAATATAATTTAAAACTCAAATACAAAAATAAAACTGAGTTGATAGCAGCATATACTACTGTCTGAAATGAAACAGGAAATGGGTTAAGATCAAGAATGGCTATTCTGAGAAAAAAGTAATTTTCATCAAGAAACTTTATAATGGTGCTCAAACTGTTAACATATCCATACACTTACTGCAGAGGCACTGTTGGAAAAATGTTTCTTATTGCAGTCGCCAAGGCCAGCACCATTGCATCTACCTCCTGACTACCGGTTTCATCTCCAGTTAAAAATGAGTAAACTTTGTCACCTACTGTCAAACTCAACTGTAAGAAAAAAACATTCTCAATGGAAAGTACATAAGCTGCTGGACACCATAATCTCAGATAAAAATTGGCTTCTTGCTGTTGGCAAACACTTATATAAATGAATTGAATTATTTTATCAAAGCCAAACACATGAGTCTATGCGAATATAACTCCTCTGTCATCAAAAGACATGGGATCATTGAGGAGAGGGTAATTCTATATATTAAATTTGTTCAAAACTTTCATTTCAATAATATGACATGTATGCAAAGTAACTGTATCATACAGCAGCTCAGTTAGAAGCATCCTGAAACATATGGAAGATTGGTGGAATGGTAGCATTAAGAACACTGAACAATGTTTTCAAACTGACTGAAAGGTCCCTGGTTTAAGTAGTAACTGAATATGAAACTGCTCAGTGAATACAAGACCAGGCTATCAAGAGAGATAAAAGTCATGATGAAGAAATTACATTAATTCCAGAAAAAAAAATCATTCAACAACTCTTTAACTCCAAAATCGATTAATTAAACACAACAAGATGATTTTCCAACAAACTGGAGTAATTCTGAAGATATCCGTCTTCTGGGTTATTGCGCTGTGTAGTCTGGTCGATGTTTACCAACGTTTCAGAGGTCATACTGCCTCCGTCATCAGGGCGGTGAGTATGAAGATTTCTGTCTTCTGGGTTGTTGCGCTGTGTAGTCTGGT